GGAATACTGTGGTGTGTTTGGGTCAGTAATTGTGGCCGCCTAAGCTGGCTAAGATAAGGCAGATTAAAGACCAACCTCCTCCCATCTCCCCACCTCTTGGCCTTGTGCTATATTTTTGTACTTTCAAATTAAATATCACTTTCCTCAATTTACCTAGAGTCTATGAATTTAAGCGCTGTACTAGATTGGCGACAAAGTTTCATCATTTGACAGTTGAAATGGCTGCTAGATGGAACCGTAAGTTCTATGCTAACAGTTTCTTCTCTCACACTTCTTGCTTGTGGAACTCTCTTCCAGCTTCTTGCTTTCCCGTCAACTTTGATCTTCATAAATTCTAATGCGATATCAATCATTATCTTCTTAATTCTTGTTCTTTTATTGTTTTCTCTCCTTAATAGCATATTTTCCTCATATTATTTCACACTCGGTAACCTCTTTGCGTCTTAGTGGCTATATTGGCTTACTTGGGGTGAAATAGTTAAAAACAAAACTGAAAATGAAAGGAAACTTATTTTTGAAATTTACAAATTCATTTTTAATTCTTATTATTCAACATAAAGCATTTTTATTTTGATTTACCCTATATGAACCAAAAAACATTTGGAAGAACTCTCATTGCAATATATAACAAGAAAATTAAGAACTAAATGATAAGAATCTGTCTATATTTCTGAGATGAGGTATTATGTACACTATTTACATTATTCTGACTATTGTCCTCATCTTTGTCACCATATTTATTACGTTTCGGCCCTTCAGTATCTGTATATAAGATATTTTGAGGTGAGGTATTTTGTACACTATTTACATTATTTGGACTATTGTCCTTATCTTTGTCACCATATTTATTACAACGTTTCAGCTCTTGTATGCTCCGGCCTTCATCAGGTGGTTGGAATGTTGAACTGAACCCTTTATTTCGCTCACTGGGGTAGACTGTTCTAGCTCTAGTTGTGGATGTCAGTTATCAGCTATCTCCTGTTAATTTCCATCTGAAAGTTCTCCACTGCCTTAACCGGGTATTGAACTCACACTCTTTGGGTCCTGTCACTGGATCTAACCAATGCCTTTATCCACTGTGCTATGTGTCCTTGAGGACATCTGTGTATGAATTTCTGGGTATTATCCTAATGTCTTCAGTAACCATTTTTTACCAGTGCCCATATTACATGTTTTTGCTAGAACTCATATTGCAATTTTTGTTGTTATTATCGCTTTTCTCTGGTACTCTTTATTACTGGTTCCCATATTGTATTCATTTCTATGTTTGGTCGGCTCAGGAGATTTTTGTAGCCTAGCATATGTGCTGATTCCTAAAGTTTACGAATTTTCCAATGGTGTTCTTCATCTATGATCTCAACCTGATACCACAGAGGGCAGTGATCTCCCTTTTCTCTCCATATGTGGTCAGCCATGACTGATTTTTCCATTTCTCCTCGTGTTACAGCTTTCTGGTGTTCTTGAAGCCTTACCTTAAGGCCTGTCTCCACTTTATATTTCTTTCTGCAACTGCACAGGATAGCGTACACACAGTGTTTAGTCATGTTCTCTTCTATGGGAGGGGGGTCTTATTCTAGAGAGATATCTGTGAAGTACCGTCCAGCTTTTGAAATGATAAGTCTCTAATATTGTAAATTGGATATTTGCAAACCCCATGGTACTAATGCCTGTGAGCCAGGCTGGGGCAAAAGTCTTGTGCACACCCCCTCTACTACATTTCAGTTTTTGTAAGGCAGTATTCATATAAAATCCAAATTTTACTGTAACCTAATTATGTACAATAAGGTCATAATATTGTAAGTGCTATTTTTACCATGTGGATAGGTGGAACTTGTGCTGTTAAGGTTCATATCTGTATTATTTTGAGACAATGTTCCTTTTATCTCTTGCCACTTAGCATCAAATTAATTTCATGTTAAAGAGCAAAGCAGACAACTGGCTGGGTGCAGAAGACTAATGTCATGTTTAGCCTGTTGTAAAAAAAAACTTTGGAATGCAGTCAAAATCCATGAAAATTTTTCATTCTTTAATACTCAGTTGGTCTTAGTTTAACCTTTACCCTCTGCATTATTAATATTACTGCCCTTTCAACTGCATTCTTTTTCAAAGCCTCTCAATTGCAGTGTTTTCAGTTGCCATAGCAGGATATGACAACACAACTATGAAATTCAAACAAACTCAGGGATCAGTCATTTTCAGTGGCCGGATAAACATTTGTACAGCAGTGATAAATATTAATTTGCAACATATATAAATGTAGGTAGAAAAACATAGATGTTGATAAGATAGGGAAAGTCACAAAGTTCTGCCTAGGGGGCCCAAAATCAGGCTTACTTCCCCTCACCCCAAATCACTTAGAGGATTTAGTGTAGTATGCAATGGCCATGGCTGTGAGAATGCTTCATAGTAATAAAAGAAAAATATTGATAATTTATTTCATTCATTTATAATTTGATTTCTTTTTCTTTCTTTTTTTCAGGCTCCAGTTGACAGGACCGTCAATCTCCTTTGGGCCCAAAAAAGACAAAGAGGATAAAAAAGAAAATGTCCTATGCAATTTAATACAATTTGGTTATGACGATTGCTGAGAATTTATTTCAGCTTTTGTCTTTGCTAACAGAAAACTGGATAACTGCCCAGTCACACATTTGGGTATAGAACTACATACCCCAAAAAAGAAAAAAAAGAAAAAATTATATCAAAAACTGTCGATGAATTTTAAGCATAAAAATTTGGGTTTCTTCTAAAAGCAGTTAAACTAAATTACTTTATTTTCCATTGCCAAAAATCTTTGCATCCAAATTCCTGGACTTTGAATTTGGTTATATACCAAAAAGCTGTGTCTATTAATGATTCAGCAAACTTTGAATTTTAAAATTTTTTCAATAATGTTGCAGTATTAATTTGTAGATGTTGTAAGCATTTATAGACTATGGAATCCATACCATTTTTATATTATACCATTTATAGACTCGATGGAATCTATGAATACTGCCTGAAAAACCACTGAAATAGAAACTATAGAAGTCATTAATATTTGCCTGGAAACTATTCATATTTAATGCTTTACAAGATATGAAATCAGGAAAAAAAATAGGCAAATAAGTTTTAAAAACCGAAAACATTATAATTTTTATCATGATAATTCTGTATCCGATGCCTCTCTTCTGAGTAATGGTTAACACACTAATCTGGCAGGACTGATCTTTCTGTGTAGTCATTTTACTGGTGCTCTGCTATTGAAGCCCAGTTAATACCTAATAAACCAAGACAACATAATTATTATTGTCAGAGATCAAAGTACAGTATCTGTTCTATTAAGAGAGAAAAGAAACAAAAACAGTTTAGTTGCGTGTCCAGATGTAGCAGTGGTTAATAACTTCTCTCACTGACTATTTATGCCCAATTGTTAGTTTTACCTTCACAAGGTGCCTCACACATAATGGCCTTATACCAGACTAGGGTAAATTTACTGAATTTAAATGAAAACAGCTTATAATTCCAAAAATGAAACTTAGAAATCTTTTAATGAATAACAAAAACAACCCTTTTAGATAAAATTACTTGAAAAAGTCTTCATATGAAATTTTCTGGGAAATTGTGAAATTGTTCGCATACAACATCTAGAGACAAACAAGTCTATAACAAATGATTAGCGACACCCTTTCACTGTAAATCATTCCAGCTTTAAGTGTTACAAAGCCCTTTTGGCCATTGCGTATTTGACAACTGACAAGGGAGATGCGCTTTATCTTGGACTTAATCTGCTTCTTTAATAACTCTTTGTAACTTTTGTATCAAAGAAATTCACAACATCAATATTTTGCATAAAATTAGCAAGTATTCCCTGAAAAGCTGGATAGACATCGTAGGACAGGTGAAAAATTATTCTAAGGAAGTCTTTTGATTATATATATATATATATATATATATATATATATATACGTTCTTCTACTAAGGGTCATCTTTATGTGGATATTTTCGGTGTGAGAAGTTTTGATAGTCAAACAGAGAAATTACAGTGGGTTGCCAGTTTGTGTATAAACATTTTTAAATCCATCACCTTTCAGTCTTGTCTCTGCATTACGATTCTTCCTAAATAATATTATTATCAAAAAATGAGACCAGCTCCCTCAAAATTAGCCTAATTTGAAGTTTGAAGTGTCAAATTAATTGTTTTTATTCTTACAATCTATGCAAAAAGAATTAAAATTCTCTTTAACTCATAAAAATGCTATGATTTATTATTCAGTATATTTTGATAGAAAAATGATTCAAATTATCAATTAGTAGATAAACTGAGCATTAAATGATTTATGTGTCCAAAGGTTTTAAGTAACAACTAATTTGGTGAATAATAATTGTTATTAATTTTATTTTATTATTATAAATAACATCATTCACTTTTATCTTCAGTTTTTAGTTGCTTTTTATTACAAGGTTCCTCAAGCTGTCATCATATAAACACTAGTGAATAAAGAGGATAGATTGGGAATAAAGTATAAACCCTCAGTGAAGATCAAATTCACTTTTTTTTTTTTTTGCTTTGCGGGAAGAAGCCTGGTTAAATTGCACCAGTCTCTTTAAGCTACAAATAGTCTACACTGAACAACTTGCAAAAGATTAAATTTTGCCAACCTGTTACTGTATTCAACAATTTCTTTTAGCACTAGTACATTTTTTAACTATTAACTATTAGTAACAAGTATTGTCTTTATTTTAATTTTTTTGTATGAATTATCAATCGTTAACTTTTTGTTTTACTAGTATTTACTTTTATCTTAATTTGTTTAGTTAAAAAGCAATTTCGTATTGTCATCAATAACAGCCTTTAAATCAAAAGGGAGATAACTCTTCGAATTTTTTTTGGTTACTTCCTAATAGTTTTGATTTTGTGGTTCTCAGGCATATTAAATCATAAATACTGAATTAAAAGGCAAAGTGATATATAAAAAAAAAAAAAAATTGTCTCCTTCTGAAGGTAGAATTAATTACCCATAATGCAATTTTCTCAGCAATCCAATCATGGACTACAGCTACAGGTTGGTGAGCAAGTCTTTCCAGAAACAATAAGTCAATATCACCATCATAAACAGAACTTACCGCAAAATCATCACCGACACAACCTTCGTGGTCACAGCAAGCAGTTTGATGCTAATTCTAACAACTATGCTAGCACAAACTCCAGGAACAATTCAAAACTGAAACATCCTGTTTTACCTCCTTCCTCCTCCCCAGGATCATCTACGGCCACTCCCCAAGGTGTCTTATCACAGGCCCACATGTCATCCTCTTCAACACAGAAATCAGCGCACATGCACAACAATGGAGATGGGCCTGCAAAGAACTCACCTTCTCGTCTATCGCAACCAACCCTCAGTATAAATACAGACAGCAATCTCAACATAAATGCAGACCTCCTCAATGCCAGCCCCCTCAACTCGAAACAGTTCTACGTACGGAAGAATGTCCACGACCAAAACCAAGCCAACATACGTAAGAAGCCATTCCGATGTCCCATCTGTGGCAACCCCTTTTTGCGTCGGCGCACAATGGAAGTACATGAGAAGACACACAGTGGAATCCGCCCTTTCAGCTGCAGTTACTGTCCGCAACGTTTCTTTCAAAAGGATAAGTTATTGATACATGAGCGCACACACACCGGAGAGCGACCTTTCGAGTGTAATATCTGCTCCAAACAGTTTGCACGCAAGGACACGCTGAACATTCACAGACGGATGCATTCTGGGGAGAGACCCTACCCTTGTGAACACTGCCACAAACGATTCGCCCAAAGAGACAAGCTCCTGATTCACGAACGAACACATTCTGGGGAAAAACCCTATCAGTGTCTTATCTGTTCAAAGCAGTTCGCCCGTAAGGATACACTGAATGTGCATCATCGGACACACACAGGTGAACAGCCTTACCGCTGTGACAACTGTGGAAAACGTTTTTCGCAGAGGGATAAACTTGCTTTGCATAAATGGAAATGCAATAACAACTCGTGAGCAAAATTCCCACTCATCGGTTTGGTAATTTTAGCCATTAAGTATTTTTTTCATAACTCTCTGTGGACATTTTATTGACCTTTCAAATCACCCTTGCTAACCTTTCGATTTTCATTGACTGTATGGGATCCATTAACTATAAAATCTATTGACTATATAAAATCATGAAGTAAAAAATTTTGCTTAAAATAAGATACTAACATAATAGAAAAACGATTGAGCTATGTCAAGGTTAATAATGAGAGTAACAGCTTTTTTTACTGCTGATACTGCCTGTGCAAATAAGGAAGTCAGGGAAGTGTGATTTATTCACCTGCATAATAACTTTTTTTTTCCTTATTAACTGTTGTGGCATACCAGTGACAAGTCCTTTTGATCACAATATCAGATGACATGACCAAATGGAGAAAGACGTGAATCATGCCTTTCCCAAGGTGAAGTGCACACAACCTGTATTAAGATTTGAACTCTGATCAATGAATCCATTTTCCATTTCAGTAACCATTATTCCAACTCATTTTTCACAAATACATTTAAAAGAAACAAAAAACATATCGGATGCATATTTTATTGTCTAAAATTCCAGCCTTTTTTGCTTAGATGATCCGTATTAAATTTAGTTTTATCTTCATTTTATCTTGCCTTTTTCAGTTTAATGTTTCCTGATGACAAATACTTCTAAAATCCCGTATAAAGCCATTTATTTATTTTTATTTTAGAATTAAATATGAAATAAACAAAAAAATTGGTCATAATTAACACTGGTGATTTCTCATGGGCACCACCATTTTGGTTTCGATCACATACTCTACAATGTCACTTTCCGATCCCATAAACCCCAATGGGGTGTGTGGGGCAACAAATAGCAACACTAACCATTGCTGGTGTCATTTCCGTGGTAAGTAGGTTTTTACAGAATAGATTTGCTACCTCCATGCCTGTTGATAGTCGAGTGGGCTATTTCAATATATCTCCTTTACTCAAGTCTTGTGGGCTCCACTGTGAAGTACGGGGTCACAGATCACAACACGGTAGACATTGATGCTTTGGTTTCCGTAGGTTTTTACAGGATGGACTTGCTAGCACCACGTCCAACTGGTTTTGAATTCAGAGTTATCCTTCTTGGAGACAATCAAGGCTGAAGAGCCCAGTCTGCCCTACTATTTAACCTATAACTGTGAGGAGAAGAGATGGATTCATGCACTGAATTCACCTCATTTCTCTTTCCAAACTGTTAACAACTGCACCACCTGCACATCCACCCTACAATATAGACCAGGGGTCGTAAACCTACGGCAGTTAACAGTGTCATGCAGCTGCAAATGACATCACAAAGTCTGAATGAATAACTACTACAACGCAAAAAAAAATATTTAGCTATTTCAATTTTAATATATACTAAAGTATATATATATATATATATATATATATATATATATATATATATATATATATAACTGTGTCATCACAGCATGGGCTGCTTAGGTAGGTGTGAAGTCCAATGTACCTCATTGTGCTAGATGACCATTGACTACTACAACAGGGGTTGACAACCTACATCACATGTGTCACACATGGTGTGCCAAGCAATTTGCAATGGCATGCAGCTGCAAATGACATCACAAAGTCCAAACCAATAACTACTAGAATGCAAAGGAACTGTTTCAATTTTAATATATACTAAAGTATAGTGATTTTCCAAGTGTAGCTTGGATGTGGCACAAGGCCGAAAGTAAGGGGCACCCAGTGAGGATTGAACTCACTACTCAGCAGTAATTGTTCTAGCGAGACAAGCTTGCTAACCATTACGCCACCTCGAGGTGCCCCCCATGTATATATACTATATATTACTATATAAAATATATTGTAGTACAGGTATATTGACCTAGACTTGTATAAAAATACTTATGCTGTTGGTACACTGAATGATTTTAAAACCCTAAGTCAGTATATAGTTAGCAAAAGGTTGCCAACTCCTGATATAGACTACCATATCACAAAATCTACTCTTCTGGACACCTAGCCACAGAGCTGAATGGGTTGATGACGCATCAGTCACTTACATTGACAAGATATATTATGATACAGAATGCTTTACTGATGACATTCCAATGTTGATGGTTGACATGACAGATTTCTGAATGGCTGAGCAATCTCAACCAAATAAACATAATATTTTGACTCTGGTTTGGCAATAGCAGCAGTAAGTACTGGTTAATTTATAAAACATACTAATGACCTACATTGCACTATCTCTTGAAGTTGTACACTTTTGCAAAATGAGCAATAATCTTTGTAAAGACATAGAAGTATAACTTGAAAATGTATTTATACATTAACTGCAGACAATGTAAGCTACATGAAGACATGTAAGTACATCTTGGAAACATGTTGACAGCAAGTAATGTAAGTTTTATGACTGTCTTGAAAACATGTTGACCAAAGGCAGTGAAAGTTTTACGAAGACATAAGTACATCTTGAAAACATGTTCATATCAAGTAATGTTATTTTCATGAAGACATATAAGTAAGCGCTTGAAAATGTCATGATTGTAGGCAATGTAAGTTTTATGAAGACTAATGTCTTATAATTTCGTAAGTGCACCCACGTCAAATAATTGTGCTTTGGTAATGATACATAAGTACAAACACAGAAGTCAAAATCTTTATTTTGTCTAGCATTTACGTTCATCCTTGTTGATTTTTTATTTATTTTTTTAAGCGTTTCACCCAAGCAAGGCGAGAAGCCACTATTACACAAGGGGTTACAGAGAGTTGGAGCGAGAGCAAAGAGGAGTGATAGAGGAAAGGATGAAGAGAAGGATAGAGGATAGATCAGGGCATCTGGAGACGTCGATTGACATTACATTTGAATAGTTGGAGATTATAGCTATCAGAGAAACAGGAAAAGGGGAGGGAGTTCCACAGGCGAGACATGAAGCTATTGGAGTAGAAGAGACGGCTACATTTAACAGTTTCGACAATGAAAGGGTGAGAGCGAAATGCCAGCCTAGTTGGACGCTTAAATTCATGAAGTCTGGGAATCAGCGAAAGTAGCTCATCGGAGCAGTTACCATGAAAGTATTTGTAAAAAAGACAGAGGGAAGCGACGGCACGTCTGTAAGAGAGCGACTGCAGACGAGATGCCAGATCAAGGCCAATTACATTGCATATCCGTCTCTGGATTTTATCAAGAACCTTGAGACAAACAGAACAGGCTCCAGACCGTATATGGCAGCAATACTCCATGCAAGGGCGAATGGTTGATTTGTAGATTTGAAGGATCGACTCCGGCGAGAAAAATTTCCTGGTGTCGCATAGGGAGTCAACTTTCCTTGCGTTGGACGAAGCTATTGACTCTGCTTGTTCCAAATATCAATTTGAGAGTATATTTTGCAGGCGGGTGTTGTCCTTTCTCAGTTTGAGGTCTCCACCTGCCTCTGCACACCAGATAAAGTCTTCTTGTGTTGTGTCTTTGTATATGTACCTCTTGAAGCACTCTTTTGTATATTTCGGCAAGCATTTGGTTTCCTGGAATCTTCCTCGAAAGATGCCTAGATTATAAGCAGAGAAACTAAACAAATCCTGCTGTAACAAACCCCGACAATTTAATCGCATAGACTTCTCAGAATAGTTAACACCCTCTCAGTTAAATTTTCCACTAAGATCTTGAGCTATCAAGAAAGGGATAATTGCTGTATTAAATGTATGAGTTTGCGAGTTGGTATATCTGTCGGTCTGAGAGGAAAAAAAGAAAATAGAGCGACAAAGATTATTTGAACTTTGGGGCAACTCACTCCCAAATCCTGGCATGAGCTCCTGGCCAATTGTGGATAAATTAATTGCATGATCTCTTGGCAAAACCTCTGCACACTCTCGGCAGACTAACTACGCAATTGCATGCATTGCTTTATATACCCTTCCACTCTGCGGATGTCATTGATGGATATTATCCCTAAACAAAGAACTTCCTATTGCTATTCCATGTCGTCCATTCTTCTAAAAGACTTTTCGTAAGAATTCAATGAAAGTCAACTAGGTAAAATGCTAATATAACGTTTCCCAGTTTTTTTATTATTATTATACGGAATTTTCATAAACATTAATCTTGTCACTACAGATTCCTTGGGCATGAGAGGTGGAGCAGAGAAAATTTAGTTTGGGTTCAAATCCCACCAATGCCATTCTCAAGCATTTTATAGGTTCTGTTTAATATTTTTAGATCATTTTTTTTCATCAGGTTCCAATTTGATTAACTAGTCTGCTGTAATTTTTCCACTTGGCATTTTTATTCCTTCCCTAAGTATCCTTGACGCTCTCAGTACGTCAAGTCACAAAACAGCGTTTCATGCACTGTTATGACTTCATCAGGGTCACTTCCCTGTTAAATTAAAAGAATGGATCATGCTGCTGATTTTTTCTTTACAATCTTAAGTCTTACATTTTTCAACCTACAAGTGTTCTCCCTCAGCGTACTTGAAACCTAATTTGATCTCGTAGTATGTGATTCAAGCCAGAGAATACCAAATATCCTGAATTAAACATGTAATGTCAATAAGGAACCTTTGTTGGAAGGGACGTTGATCATTAATGATCTCCAATAAATACTGGATCCACTCTAGATGAAATCAAAAACGACGCTCTGTGACACTATGGATGGAACACCTACCTAGAGGAGACAAGTTATTTCGATCTCAGGTGTTTCTATTTTATGACCAACAGTCTATGAAGTTGGGTCTTCTGGGTGGCACTCACTTCACCAAAGAGGAACAAGAGAGCAACTAGGTAAAAACATGAGTCAAGTGTAATAAGGTGACGACTGGGCGTAGCCTACATGCTAACTTAATAACTAAGAGAGGGACAAGTAGAGTCATAAGAGAATATTTACGAATCTTGATCAATTCGACCTCGTGCAAAAACGAATTCTGTCATAACCACTTGGCTGGTTGGTTGATTTTGTTTAGCTGCATATCAACACCTCTATGGGTTATTTAATGCTG